CCCAGGAAGCGAAGAGACTTCACAGTGTCAATGGTGGAGTCACAGAGGGTGATGGGGGTAGCTGGGGCTGCGCTCTTTCTAAAGTCTACAACCAACTCCACTGTTTTTAGAGCGTTGAGCTCCAGGTTGTTCTCCCTGCACCAGGTCACCAGATGGTCAGCCTCCCACCTGTAGGCGGACTCGTCACCATCGGAGATCAGTCCGATGAGAGTGGTGTCGTCTGCGAACTTCAGATATAAAAATCATGAACAGAGAGCGCTCTGTGTTAATCAACCAGTGTTTGTGGTTAAGGTGGTGATGCAGCATGGTGTAAATCAGGGGTCTTCAACGTTTTCCAGGCCAAGGGCCCCAAACTGATGGTGAGATGGAGCAGGGGCCCCCTAATTATATATATATATCAATGAAATAGTGCTCTATCAAACTGGTCCTATAGTCGCTCTATTACAGATGGAGTAATGTAACTAAAGTAATCCCTCTCTGGGATTATTAAAGTATTTCTGCTTCCTGGTTGATCGAAAGGTGTTGTGAATGAAACGGTGTCCAGCTTGAAAGAGCTCCTGTGTGTCTCTGAATGTGAGCATTGATGACTGAAAGACATCTTCTGCCTCCATTAACTACAGTCTGTTCAATTCATGATAATGTGGATTTAAAGACTTTTCAATTAATGGAAAAAATTACAGGAGGGAATATAAAGAAAATCAAATCCACCAAACTTTCACAACCCCCATGCAGTACCTCCGTGGAACCCCTAGGGGTCACGGACCCCCTGTTGAAGACCTGAGTGAAGTTGCCCCCCCACCTGCTTCAAATCAGACAAAGTTAGTGTCAAACGTTTGTGTAGCAAAAAATTTCATTTGTGCCGCTATAGTTTTAAAGATATAAAGAAATATTTCTAGAGATCAACAAAGGTCAACCAGCCCCCCCCACCTTCTTCAAATCAGATGAAATGGGTGTCAATTAACTCAGCTCCGTTTGTGCTGCTTTGGCTTTGGAGATATTAATGAAAATGTAAAGGTCAAAAGGTCAACCAGCCCCCCCACCTTCAAATTAGACAAAATTGGTAAAAAAAAGATTGTGCAGCAAAAACAGATGATAACTGACCTTTGATGACAAAATATTATTAATATCATTGAAATGATAGCAGGTCTGTTTCCTCTGATCTAAACATTTGGACCCTAAACTGGACCTGATCTGAATCAGAACAAAAACCCACATAGTATATGGACTCTTCTGATGTCTCATCCATCCATCCATCCATCCATCCATCCATCCATCCATC